AGCCCGTGAACGCAAACAAACAAAACACATTCCTGATATGCCACATTGTTAAAAGGCTTCTTTAATTTTTTAACAAAAACATAAAACTAACAAAAATTTATAGATAACGGGTTTCGCATGTAGGCTCCAGGACCGCATTTGTTGGGGCAGAAACAAAAACAAAAAGACTTACGGCCCCCTTACGATTTTACGCTGTCTCCCCTAACAGACGTGAAGCAGGAGGTGACAAATTAGGGGTATTAACTTCGTAATTCAGACTGCATCTGCCTGACAGGCGAGGCAAGACCGTCTCCTCTGACGGGAGTCTTGCTGCTGACGTCAACAATATGTTAACATATCATTAGCCTGGTTTGGTGACGTCAGCAGCATGACTCCCGTCAGATGGAGACGGTCTTAGGCGAGGTGCCAAAAGTCTGCATTCAGTCAGAACTTTACAGCTGGTGAAACCTAAAAAGAAGATTGACTTTCATTTTTTTTTTTTTTTTTGCAAAATGCATGATTAAAGAAAAAAAATATGCAAATGTAGACATCTCTAAAAACAAACAACCCACAACACCCCCCCCCCCCATCTATTTTATTTGTGGCTGTCGTGGTTCAGTAGTTTGCCATTACCTCTAAACAGTCGACTCTCGATACCACTTTCGAAACCAACGCATGACGGTCTGCTGCCAAGTCGCCTGCAGCTGGGATCGAACCTGGGCGCCGGCATTATCGACGCGTGTTCGCAATGCATAAACCACAGATGACAGTTAAGGATGCAGAAATGCTAAACCAAATGGTGGTGATGCACCAGGGCCGTGTCTCATACTGGTCAAGATCTATTCATCTCTCTGCGGTCATCCTACAGATAGGTTTCTAACTGGGTACCTCTTCTTTGGGTTAAACGGCTGTAAATTCCACCGGAAAGTTCTGGTAGTTCGTCCACTTCAGGACTTTAGTCTTGTTTCAGTACCTGAGTTTTGGGTGCACATCCATTTTTTTTTTTTTTTACAGATCTGACATATTTGTATGCAGACCGCTGGCTCCTTGCCTCTCGTGCAGATGCACTCTGAAATCGAAGGAAGCCCCTAATTAGTCCACTCTTAAATATTGACCTTGACTGCGATGCTGATTTTGCTCTTATGTCAAATAACACACATCATTGTTATAATAATATCTACACATTGGGAATCTCTCATTACCAAGTATAAAAGTATATACAACATAGAAGCTAAAAACTAGGAGCTCAGCCACTAAATGGTGCTCCTAACCATAAATAAATGTTCTCTTATTAAGTATTTGTTTGACTTACATCGGCGACAAGATAGCCCATCGGCTCGCTGGTAGACGACTTCGCCACTCGTCGAGACGGTATTTGGGTCTGTCTCATTTGATCACATCATTACTGCAGGAGTCTTTATCAGGGCTCTTGGAGGCGTGAAATACTAAGCCATTGTATGTGGCTCACATAACCTTGTCACAATTGTAGCCTATAGATTCCCTTTCGGAGCTGTTGTTTGAGCACCTACCTACCAGGTATGTGTTTATACATTTACTGCTGTTTCAAATATATTATTATTTTTTGCCAATCAGCACATTCTTCTGCTGCTGCAGCTGGTGCTGCTGTGGCTCTCCTCGGCGAAGTTTTCAAGCCGATTGCTTCGCAGTTAGAAGGACGTGGGTTCGCTTCATTGCTGCGCCCTTCAGTTCACGAGTGAAATTTTTAACGGAGGCCCTGGGGATCGTCGCCGGAGATACGGAGTTCGTGCTGTGCGCGGCGCTCTCGGCAGGCGACTAGCCGTTCTGCGGAGAGAGACCGATCGAGCCAGATGGGATAAAACCCTGTGCAATAAAGTCGATCCTCTCGACTTTAACATGTAACCGTTTTCTCTGACCACTAGTAACATATCGTAAAAACATCGCTTAACATGCAGTGAGGACCGTCTTTCAAGACCAGGGGCCCTTTAATACAATTCTCTCATGTTGTGGCGATCCCCACACAATTATTTTCATAACTTTAATGAACAAGTGTTTTCCAATGGTCTTAGACGAAAGGTCATTCGACCCAAAAATGGGTCGCGACCCGAAGGTTGGGAACCGCTGTAATAGACGATTGTGTTATATAGTGGTATAGGGATTCAATAGGGAGTGGGACTAACACGACTCGCTCAGTTGTCTCAACATCGGGGCGGATGTCGACCCAGCGTGAATTATATACCAGGAATTGTATTGGGAAGTAAAACCGGTCTGCTGGTGTTGACTGTCGATGACACCAGCTATGTATGTGCAATGCTTTCTGTGTGGGTTCCGCGCCCCCTGGGGGGGGGGGGGAACTAGACCCACTGCTGGCTCTAACAAGCATGTTGTAAAGTAAGACTAACTAATTCTCGGTATTTTTTTTTTTCAAAGTCGCAATCATTTCTAAGAGATGAGGAACCAGCATTCTACAAACAAAAAATCCAAACCAGTAAAACTGATGTGCACGCAAAACTCAAGTTCTGCAATAAGACCCACGTCCAGAAGTAGACGAACAACCAGAACTTTCTGCCGGAGTTTAAGCCCGCGAGAGCTAACCAGATGTCCGATGCAGCTAACGGGGCGAAGTGGACTACCCCTCACATTTGATACATGATCCACATGAGATAAGACATGAAATCTTGGGTGAAATTTGGACTTCTTAAAACACACAATGTTGGCGTCTGTGGCTTCGGTTTTGCAAACATGGTTCGTAATTCCGTGATACCGGCTTCGATCCCACCTGCGGGCAATTTGGCAACCGATCCGGGGGGGGGGGGGGGGCGGGGGGGAGGGGGGGGGGGCTAGTTTATGAGGTCGTAAGAGGCGACTTTTTCAGGGTTCACTTAAATTGGATGTCTTGGACCGACAGGTGTAGCTATGGTAACCTGGGTCTGAATCACATCGCTATACTAAGTGCAGAACAGGAATTACTGTGTTATGAAAGGATGAAATTATATATTACATGAAAAGGAAAATAACATCAGAACTGATTACTGGAACTTGAGTATGTACAGTTGTCTTTCTTCTTATTCTTTCGTTCGCCCGAAATAAGTTGTCTATATCAGCAGTTTTGTCTCTTGTATAAATTTCACTGTCGTTGTTAGTTCATTCAGTGGTGAATAGAGATTGCGTTCCACTGTTGTTCTTTCTGGCCAAAAGGTTTGCCTTAATGTGTCAAATTCGGTGCAGTCCTGGAGTATGTGCTCTGCTGTCTGGGGCACCTTTCCACAGGTGCACATGGCTGATACACCTATCTTGAATTTTGTGTACATGTGGTATATACAGTTGTTAAGAACTTACACTTCTTCTTCTCTTCCTCCTTTTATCTCACCGATTGGTTAGTGATGTAAGAACCTTTTATGTGCTGTTTCAAGAGCGTTTACAAGTTGATCTTCGTGTCTTTAAGGCAGTTCTCGGTGCCGTTGGTCCATATTTTGCGTGATCTTATCGTTGCTTTGTTCCTTATATTACACCTGATAGATACACTTGGTGCCAGGCCATTCTTGTTAAATGGCCAAACTATCCCATTTGTTGATCTTTAATGGATTTTACGACTGGTTTCAATCATATCTTCTTTTAAATTCCTCCAGTTTTGATGTGTAAAGACTGTGCATGTCTTGATAAAATCTGGTACCCTGCTTGTAACAAATTTTCAAGTCTTTACGGCTGATCTGTGTGTTGACGTGTGGCAGAATTGTCAGTTTCTTTAAAGCATATCTTTATTCTTTATTGCTTTATTCAAACACACGTATTGAATTTGCATGGAAAATGTAAAATGGTAGTCAAAATCTGGTTGGGTGAAGCGTTTTATTAAAGCAACACTGCTGGTTCTGAAGCATTTTAGGGTTAATTGGTGCATTACAATTTAGACGTTGCAAGGGTTCTTTGTATTTCTCCGAATATTTATTTTCCAGGCCCCACGTGCTTAGCAGACTTTTGTCTTGACATCAACCGGGCTGCCACGAGATACGAAGATAAGTAATATTGTATATTTGCGAAGTAGTGTCTATTCAATGTATGCGCTGAAGAAGGCTCCATAGCCGCAACGTTTTGTTTGTGTTTGTTATATGGCGAAGCTCGCTGATATACCTTTGGTTCGGTTTTACATCTTTCTCTCATAAGTGTCGTTTTGGAGTGGATAAACGATGCGGAGGTACACACAGATCATCCTGTTCTGAAGAGAATGGCGCTGCCAGGGCAGACTTTGGGATCTTGCTGACGCTTAGCACTTAGGGGAGAGGCAAGACAGACATACCATCAGACTGTCACTGGTACTATCGTAATTTGAACTCTGCACTTGGTGCTGAAGATGGGGTGGAGGCTTATAAGACCGGCCCGAGTGGTATGATGTCAGCTCCCAACTCATAACTTATAAATCGACATCCACAAACTGAAGTCAACGACGTATGCACATCACCATATAGCGAACCTTTGCAGAACTTCGCTCTCACCACAGTCTGCCTTAAAGAAACTCGTCTTTTGTCAGCGCTTTCGCCTCGTGTACCTTTATATTCAAGGATTCAATTATTTCCTATGCCCTTCTTCGTGTTGGTCGGCCCCTTCCCCTCCTTCCTGGTGCCATGCAATGGGCTATTATTTTTCCCAATCCGCCACGGAACTTGCTGTGACAAAAATATTTCATTTTCCGAGACAGGTTGCTGTTTATTAGCCAATCTTCCCTAATGTTCAGATCTGTTAAATTTCATTATACCTCTAGGTCTAGTTTGGGTAAAAGACTGTGCATCTTTAAGATAAAGGTAGTTGCGTTTCCTTTACAGGACGTTGTAAACCAATCACAGCATGCATTGGTTGTTTGTGGTTTTACTAGACCATTTTACATTCGTTTTTTTTTTTGTCATTGCTACCTCAACGGTCGATGCTGCATACTGCTGTCGAAATAAACGCAAAGCGGTCTACAGTCAAATCACCTGTAGCTGAATCTAACCAAATATTTCAGAATTAGATACAAAATTCGTAACTCTAAGCCACACACGCCGACAAGTTTAAGATGCACATGGTATACTAAGAATGAAAGTACTCAGTGTGACGACAAGCACGTTGACATAGCTTAGTATGAAGGCAGAAGGGGCTCCATTGCAGTACGAGGTGTTACAGAAACAATACAGAGCTGAGAAATTGTTCTGGTCATGAAAGTACTGATGACAACCGGAAGACTCGTTTATCCCAGGCAGGTCCCCTGGGTAGTAGCAAGAGCGGATCACCCCTGTCCAGCCATCTGTGAAACAAACAAGCAATTATCATTTAGCACATTTCGTATCGATCTAATCAAATTGAATGACTCTGTCTAGTCTCAAAAAGTAAAAGATGTTGGACAAGATACACGTTGAGAAAAGACGAAAACGTAACTTGAATGTCTTTACACTGGAACCCGCAAGGGTATACACATAAACTAGTGAAGTAAAGGTCCCTTTCCCACGCCTATAGGCGTATAGGGCATATAGGGCTAGACCTATATTTTTATAGACCCAGTCGGCACAAGATGGGTGATGTGGTCAGCATTACACCAGCCGCCTTTACTTTCCAGGACTGCACACGGTACCCACTCAAGGCTGGATCGACCTGGGGTCATTTTTGAAAAATTCCGGCGCCTCCACTACCTTCCCATCCGCAGATGGGTGATGTGGTCAATATCACGCCAGCCACCTCAAGACTTGCCGGCGCGGGAGTCAAGGTCATTTTTGAAAAAATTCTGGCTCCGCGAGAGAGCGAACTCATGACCTTCCAATCCACTCGCGAGCGTCTAGCGATAAGTTGTATTAAAAAAAAAAAGTAGATTTTTCCTAACGTTCTCTGCCTTTGGCTGTTTACATCTGCACTTCACATTTAAAGTCTCAGACATACTTTTCATTAACTTATCTTTTCTCATGTGATAGTTGTTAAAAATAGTGTATTTTCGGATAAGAAGAGGTCTAAATAATTTCACTATGGGACATCAGGAGCAGAAGTATCAGATGGAACAGATGGGTTAAAGCTACAGAAACATGAGGCACATTGAGCTCAGGCAAGTATAGCATGCAAATAGAGGCGTGGCGAGTTGCTTAGGGCTGAAAGAGTTAAGTCAGTTTTGTATAATTGCATGTGTGTGTGTATGTGTATGTGTGTGTATTTGTTTTCCACTTGTATTCCTATGTTCATTCCTACAGCTGGCCTAATAACTTTCGTAACGGTCTTTTATCTTACGGCAACATTTTTTGTTTAAACTAGTACACTGGCTGACTATATTTCCCTGAGGAGGGCGACCGACAAGGAACAAGGGGTTGTGTATGTGTTTTTGTTTCTCAATAAATGTGAAATGATTAAAAAAAAAAGTTTTACGGATCTTACCATTATTATTCAGTGACAGATCCCATTGAGAACAGTAGTTAGTCTAGACTAGAGGACGGTAGCTCTATCTCAGCCTCATCGATTATAAATATTTCCACAAAGAAGCAATTTTATCCTGACAATCTTAGCCTTTCAGTAACTTATAAAACTTTCCACAGTCCGTGGCATAGAAAAAGAAATCAATCCGAGTGAGAATTAGAACTAGCCAGCCTCGCATTACATTACACAATCACAAAGAAGCAAAAGAACGTTGCGGCTAGATGCCTTCATCAATATATGACAAACATACAATTACAAACAAGAATACACGCAATCATTTATCTGTAGGTAGAGGGCTTTAGCAGAAATAGTCATGCCACGGCTTGACAGGCTGTACAAACCATGAATCTCATGTGCAACACTAGAATTTCCCAAACTGTTTTTAGTGGCGGCAACTCTTTTCAGTTAAAATTTTTCCACAGCGCCCTAACCTAAATAAAAGTATGACTATTCGTAGGTTATATATAATAAATAAATAAATCGTGTATCTTCGAATATTTCGAGGCCCCCCTGTGAAGAGGTCGCGGTTCCGCGGGGCCGCGGGGCGCCGCGGTGCACAGTTTGGGGATCACTGTGATACAGGATGAGGGTACAACGCAGGAAGGGAGATAGGAGAAGCAGATGGCAACAAGGGTCATAACTCAAATTATTCGTTTAGATAAAGATCTGTGCTATGTTAATTCCCTTGGGCGAAAGAAAGCACCAATTAAACAAACAAGATGGTTCAAAAGAGACTTACCTATTCTTTCACTGAAATGGCTAGACTTGACTAATTCCACTTCTCTTTCCAATTGATATCTTTTCATGGTATTTTTATAACCTCACCGATGTTAGCTTATTTCAAAACATTTCCTTGATTTTAGCCATCAAAATTGTATTTGTTTCAGTCTTTAACTAGTATGTACCTATAGAAAGTATTGTTTCAGCAGATATAATAAAATTCAGTTTGGGAGTTTAACCTGTCATAAGGTATCGATAGCCCAGTTTGGTGACGCCAGCAGCATGGCCCGTCAGATGGAGACTGTCTTGGTCTTGATCGCATTACCAGTACTTTCATAGTTTTCTTGGGAACCGTTGCTTTGCCTCTCTCATCCGGTCTTGGCTTTGGTTTTGCTTGCCTCTCTTTAGTTTTCTTGGCTGGTTTAAGAGGTCTTACAACCTTGGTGTCGTCGACTGGTTCTTATTGTACTAGAGCTGTTTCTCGCTTTTATTGGATATCATTGAGCATTGCCACAATCTCTGCCTTGAACTTTTCCATTGAAGTTGCCTCGGTCGCCACCTGTCTCTAGACTTCTAATGTAGTTTTCAGCATATCTCTCATCTCCACCATCTCCCTTCTTATTTGTGTGTGCTGTAGGCAGATCATGGGCATTCTTCGCCATCCAAGGAGGCTTCCATAATTGCAGAGCCGACACATGCCGCTCTGGTCCAAGGCTCACACAAAGAATTGTCACGTCCTACACACGTCTGCTTAACCTCACATCCGTATTTTGAGCTTTTCAATCGTCACGAGCTGCGCCCTCCGGTGATCAGCAGGGAGCAGCCCGCAGGTCTGGGACTTCGATGACCACACAAATAGGTACACCCCCCACCCCCAGCACATTAGACACCTTTAAAGTTTTTTTAAATCTGGAAACTTAGCATGAAAGTACGGCAAAGGCACGTATCAGGCACGCCTTCCCCTTTTTGGTCCCGACACTCTGGCCAGTAACGGACATGTAAACCTTTCTGCCAATTAGTAGGACTTTATTCGGTCAGGCATTGTTTTAGGCCTAATCGAACTTGGACTCAAGGTCATATAGAAATCACAACTCGATGTTGTTTCAAAAACGTTGGTGATCCTCATCCATATGGTGGCACTTTGTGTCATCTGGTGTTTATCGCTCGTGTGATGTCCAGGTGAGGTAAAATGTACTACTACTACTACTACTATTACTACTACTACTACTACTACTACTACTACTACTACTACTACTACTACTACTACTACTACTACTACTACTACTACTACTACTACTACTACTACTACTACTACTACTACTACTACTACTACTACTACTACTACTACTGTTTGAAACTAAAACCTTCGGACCGGCGGGTCAGCGTCTAGCCGGTACGCCACAGTGGTTCTTATTTTAACACCAGACCGCTCTTAGCATATGAAATTCTATCAGCAGAAGCTGTACTTTCTAAACGACAAAGAATAAACTCGTCAGTATTGTACGTCCTAAAGGTCTGCCCGGTTTGGTTCTCTTTCGAACAATGAGTTTACAACTGCTTAAATTCTCTCTCCCCCCCCCCCACGTTAATATATGCAGTTTCCAAAGCCTTGCAACTCGAAGAGCCGCATCTAATGTTAAGTTCAACTAGACAAGCTCCATCGAACACCTTCTGTTTAACCTACTAGGGTGATATAATATGGCATCCTAAGCGGATACACCATGTCTAACTCTTCTGTCTATCGAGGGTTGGGAACATGACATTCATTCTCTATTATTATTATTGTGTGTGTGTGTGTGTGTGTGTGTGTATGTGTCTATAAATTTATAAATATATATATATACACACACACGCACACACACACACACACACACACACACACACACACATATATATATATATATATACCCCCACTGCATAAAATTCAACTCCAAGTCTGCAGCTTGAACAATTGATAGAAAATGACCCAAAGTGTTGTTTGTGATACGAGTCAAAAAGTAGCACATCTCAGAAGTTCAACCATTTAAAACAGTTAAATTGGAAAACCCTAAGCTTACAGAGTGACTTGTCTTCCCATTACCTATGGGTTGTTTCTTCTCTAATTTCTACTTATATATTTTTAAAATTTTTTTTATGTGAGAGTCTTTGAAAGCTTATGACGTGTTTTTTAAGGGATTTCCGTTAATATCATCGCCTTAAGAGCATGTTAATTCTAAAGGTGTTGGTTAAGGCTTTGAACATTTGTAACAGTAATTTTAATTTGTCTGACTGTGAAAGTCAAAGCAGACAAATTGTAAACAACGGTCCTCTACGTAGACTTCATCATTTGGTTAGAAACAACAAGGGAAGATACTCTCTAAGAAGAATGTTGACTATTATAGAAAGCTAGAAATCCTACAAGAGAAAGTAAAGAATCCTTTGGCGGAAACTACCAACCCCTTAAACAGTAAGTAATTAAAATCTCAGTGTTTAAACTCGTTGCTATCTCCACAAGCCATGCTGTCCATTAAACTGCCGATGAAAAGGAGGTATTTTAATAGATCACCAAACCGCCTACCCCCTTAAACCCCCCCCCCCCCCCCCCCCCCCCCGCCAAGGAAAAACAGCTATCACAATCGTTCCTTAGATTTCTGTGCTTTCGTTTTCTTAACTGTAAGAGATGCTGTGAGATTTGATTACTTAACGTCACCACCATAAGTGCCGGCACCTGGGGGATCAGGCTACCTGACCGCAAATTTTTAAAGCAGCCCCCTCCCCTTACAGGCTAGTCGATGGGGGGGGGGGGGGGGATGTGTTCAGCATCACACTGACCACCTTTGTTTCCCAGGACTTTACCTAGGTTTAGGTTGGTTCTTCTTCTTGTTCGCCAGCTGTAAACTCCAGCGGAAAGTTCTGGGTGTTCGTCCACTTCTGGACTTTAGTCCTTTTCCAGAACCTGCGTGTTGCGTCTACATCGGTTCACATATCTTACTCATGTGTATGCAGACTCTTGGTTCCTTGCCTGTCAAGCAGATGCACTCTGACTTCGAAGGACGCTCCCAATCAGTCGACTCTTACGACATGCTTTGGGTTAGGCAGTAGGACTAATATTGTTTTTCCTACAATGGGGCCCCGGAACCCACACGGTTCAACCTGAGGGGGGGGGGGGTGGAACAATCAGAGTCGATGTGGTTTCGAACCCACGACCTTAGGATCGGCAGGCGGTGAATCTAGCCGCTACACCACAACTGCTTGCATAAAAATATAAGTCTGTTACTATATGCCCTGTATGCCAAAGGCAAAAACGGATCCTGTCTTTACACCAGCACTTTATTTTTTACCTTTTTGTGAATTAAAAAACACGTCATCTACCATGATACACATTTTAGTGTGTAATGTGTTTTGTTTCTTTTTGTTTTGTTTTGTGGTTCTGCAAATGAATGTTACATGTTTGCTTACTGCAAGTGGTTTTTAGAGCTGAAAATCACTTTATGTTTTTCTTAACATGTTCTGTCTTCTCTCTTTTTTTTTTTTTTTGGGGGGGGGGGGGGGGGGGGGTATTTTTTTCAGATCTTGTTTACTGTCGTTCAACATAAAGTATAACTGGAAAAGCTGTTTACAACATAAAGTATAACTGGGAAAGCTCTTTTATTAAAAGAAGTCAAAAAAAAAAAATTTAAAAAAAAAAAAAATAAAATAAAAAATAAAGGTCTTGTTTCCACGCCTTTAGACCCATAGGGCACATATGGCTAGACCTATATGTGTATAGACCAATCCCCACACGATGACTGATGTGGTCAGCATCACGCCGGCCTCCTCAAGACTGCGTTAAAAAAAAAGTCCGACTCCGCTAGAGAGCGAACCCACGACCTTCCGAACCGCATCCGAGCGTCTAGCCGCTACGCCACAGCAACTCAGGTTTATTAACGTATCTTTAACGGGGCTAAGCCGATTATCTAGTGCTCTGAAGTCTGTGGGTTCTACTTAGGAGATTCATGGATGTCCATGACTAGCGAGAAAAAAAAAGTTTGGGGATGGAAAAGGAGCGGTGGAAGGGGGCGGGGAATGACTGAGCCTCTCCAAAAACCTTGGTAGTTTTGCTCCCTTTAACCATGTTGTGAGGTCTCGAGGCATGGCGTCGGCCTCGAGTGCTGGAGGTCCTAGGTTCAGGCCCCGGTGAGAGCTGGGATTTTTTCACGTGCATTCAGAGTAATTTCCCCTGGTCTCTGGGCAGTACGATCGGACGCCCGTGTGTATTGTTGCGCACGTAAAAAATCCCTTGGCAGTTGGAAATCGAAAAGAGTAGCTTAACAGCGCTGCCCAGGTAAAAATTTTTTACCATTCAGTACATTATTGTTGAAATTATTATATTCTTCTTTTTCTTCTTCAGCCGTTGAGGTTCATTGCTGCAGATATCACCCGCTTCCATCAGTCTCTCAGGTCCTCAAGGTTTGGAGTTAAAGCCTGGGCCGACACCCTCTACTTTGTTCGTAACGAAACATATATTTAAGCATAGATTTCGGCTGGATTTAAAATTATCATATTATTGTTAATATTATTATCTTCAATTAAGATCAGACTCATAAAGTCTCCCCCACCCCCATAAAAAAAAAAACAATTTGGTTCGCGTCTCATTTCAGCATCTTTATAATTTTTGGGGGGATCGGGGACTCCTTAACGCGGTTAAATAAAGTTTAAGTGCGCAATAATAATTATAACAACTACTGTTGTGTGTTGAACCCTCCGTGTGGGTTTCGGGGATGGGAGAGAATAGACCAAATGCCTCTCTAACAAGCATGTCGCAAGAGTCAGCTAAATAGTTTGCTCACAAAAAAAGTCAGATCCGTAAAACGGAAATGCACACAAAACTCAAGTTCCAGACAAGAATAAAGTCTAGAAGTAAACGCACTACCAGAACTTTCCGACAGAGTTTACAGCTGGTGAAGGGGAAGAAGAAGAAGTGTGCGGACTGGTCAATAACTATAGTAATATATGTGACATTATGTGAAATGTATATACACATACTTAACAAAAACGTTGTTACATAGTTTCGGTGGTGGTGGGGGGGAGGGGGGGGGGGGTATCTGTTTAGGCATTTGCAAATATTCTAGGCTGCACTCAGTAGTCCCGTTCCAGTAGTAGTTGGGAGTGGGGGGGGGGGGGAGGAAGAAGGGCTCGAAATGCCTAAGAACCCATGGGTACACGTAACGTTAACATCCCCACGCTCCGCCCATATACACATTAGCTCACTTCTGATTGGTAGTTCCTGACCCTGTCACCTTAGCTCAAGGTTACGGAGGTGTTCCGCAATGCCGTTGATATTGCGTGTTGTATTTTTCAGCACGCCAGCGCTTTTAATAATCCAAACACGTGGAGAAACTGGCCCTAACAAAACCAGATAAAGAGTGCTGCAACCTATGTCACAGGCATTCTCTTTCTTAGAATGAAAATGAAAATGTAAATGCAAGACAAGACAGAAAGCCAACAACAGAGCGGGACACACCCGTAGCCTTCAGTAAAGTCGACCAGCCCAACAAACTTGTGAATGAAACGTGACCTACTTTGTTTGGAAAGATTTACGTGAACCTAACCAACCCAGGTTACTGTGCTCCCACCACCCTTTCCCTCTGAATGTACATCATTGAAAATAAAAACATAAACAACAAACATTTGTTTTGCATTTTTGTAAAACAGTGCACCTACGTCTGTCTGGAGGCTGTTCCTGTTTGCCACAAATAGGTCTGCGTTTGTCGTCATCGGGGCAGACGGTCGCAACAAACTGGTAGGCCTTGAATTCCTGGCCACAGGCAGGGGAGACACTGTTGTCGCAGTAAAAACATCTGATGGCGACAGCTGTAGTCAGAAATAGAGATTTAAATCATTGCTCGGTTTTCTCACATGTGTACTACTGGTCTTTAACATATGTAATACAGTTCAATTTCAAAAGCATACAATTTAGACAATTTCGTTCACAGCTAACGCATAGATATAGCTCCCTGTGTGGGTTTCAGGGCCCCATTGTGGAGAAAACAAGAACAGACCCACTGCCTGCCCAAAAGCATGTCGTAAGAGTCGACTAATTGGTCGGAGTACAGCTGCTTGAGAGGCAAGGATCCAACAGTATGCATGCAAATGACTCAGACCTGTGAAACGGATGTACACGCAACATTTAGTTTCTGGAACAGGACTAGAGTCCAGAAGTGGACGACTACCAGAACTTTCCCGCCGGAGTTTACTGCCGGCGAACGCGAAGAAGAAGAAGAAAAGAGAAGATAGGTATAGCTAGGGTGACTATAATATCGCAAACTGTGGGAACGACACCTTGTACTAGATTCATCGAGAAACAGCAGATTAAGTGGTTTGGCCATTTTGTTAGAATGCCGCAAGATCAAATACCATCACAAGCACTACATCTCAAAAGATCAGCTACAAGAGCAAGAGGACGGCAGCGGAAAACATGAATCGACAACATTAAAGACACTCTACACCTTCATGGCATGACAATAGCCAGTGGCAACCAACGTGCACTGGATAGCAAATTATTCCTCCCCACGTCGCTTAACGGCAGAAGTGGTTAATGATGATGATGATGATGATGCCTATAATATCTTAAGTAGAAAACGGGACATCTGGCTAGTATTTTGAGCTGAAAACGGGACATTCCAAACAAACCTGACTCCCGCCTTCCCCCCCCCCCCTTTTTCCCCCCCCCTCCCCACATTTTTTGTTAGGTCAGTTGGCAAACGGGTAAATTACTCTCAAGACAATGGTAGTAAACTCGAACCAAAGCTGCCAACAATTAAATAAAACAATATGCTTTACAAGGGAATATTAACACACAAAAAAAAAAAAAAAAAACTACGGTGAAAATTCTCATCAGCACATTTCAGGCACTGAAACTATAAAATTATGAACTCAGATGAGCACTACATATATTTTCTCAGGTTTATTCCTAGATTTGTATAAAACATGCCAATTGGTGCTTTTTCGGATTATTTGTGGGACTGCTGGTCCACACCTTAAATAAACCGGACTGTCCCGGTGGAAACAAGACATAGCACAGAGAATTCACAAATTGAGAACAGTAAACTTACATATTTAATATAGAGAGTTTTCATATATATTACATTTAACTCACAAAAACAGTTCAATCACAGATATATTGCAGTTTATTTACAGAAATATCACAGTTTATTTACAGAAATATCGCAGTTTATTTACATAAATGTTGCAGTTTATTTACAGATGTATCACAGTTTATTTTCAGAAATATCGCAATTTATTTACATACATTTTGCAGTTTATTTACAGATGTATCACAGTTTATTTACAGATGTATCACAGTTTATTTACAGATGTATCACCGTTTATTTACTGATGTATCACAGTTTATTTACAGATGTATCACAGTTTATTTACAGATGTATCACAGTTTATTTACAGATGTATCACAGTTTATTTACAGATGTATCACAGTTTATTTACAGATGTATCACCGTTTATTTACTGATGTATCACAGTTTATTTACAGATGTATCACAGTTTATTTACTGATGTATCACCGTTTATTTACAGATGTATCACAGTTTATTTACAGATGTATCACAGTTTATTTACTGATGTATCACCGTTTATTTACAGATGTATCACAGTTTATTTACAGATGTATCACAGTTTATTTACTGATGTATCACCGTTTATTTACAGATGTATCACAGTTTATTTACAGATGTATCACAGTTTATTTACAGATGTATCACAGTTTATTTACAGATGTATCACCGTTTATTTACTGATGTATCACAGTTTATGTACAGAAATATCGCAGTTTATTTACGGAAATTTTGCAATTTATTTACAGATGTATTAAAGTTTATTTACAGAAATTTTGCAGTTTATTTACAGATGTATCACAGTTTATTTACAGATGTATCACAGTTTATTTACAGATGTATCACAGTTTATTTACAGATGTATCACAGTTTATTTACAGATGTATCACCGTTTATTTACAGATGTATCACAGTTTATTTACAGATGTATCACAGTTTATTTACAGATGTATCACAGTTTATTTACAGATGTATCACCGTTTATTTACTGATGTATCACAGTTTATGTACAGAAATATCGCAGTTTATTTACGGAAATTTTGCAATTTATTTACAGATGTATTAAAGTTTATTTACAGAAATTTTGCAGTTTATTTACAGATGTATCACAGTTTATTTACAGATGTATCACAGTTTATTTACAGAAATATCGTAGTTTTTTTTTAAAGATGTATCACAGTTTTTTTTTACAGAAATATCGCAGTTTATTTACAGAAATATTGCAGTTTATTGACATATGCATCACAATTTATTTGCAGATAAATCACAGTTTATTTACAGATGTATCACAGTTTATTTACAGATGTATCACAGTTTATTTACAGATGTATCACAGTTTATTTACAAAGTATCACAGTTTATGGACAGAAATATCGCAGTTTATTCACAGACATTTTGCAGTTTATTGACAGATGCATCACAATTTATTTACAGATAAATCACAATTTATTTACAGATGTATCACAGTTTATTTACAGACGTATCACAGTTTATATACAGATGTATCACATTTTTTTTTTTTTACAAATGTATCACAGTTTATTTACAGATGTATTAATGTTTTTTTTACAGAAGTATCACAGTTTATGTACAGAAATATCACAGTTTATTTACAGACATTTTGCAGTTTATTGACAGATGCATCACAATTTCTTTTACAGATAAATCACAGTTTATTTAGAGAAATATCGCAGTTTTTTTTTTTTTTTTTTTACAAATGTATCACAGTTTATTTACAGAAATATCGCAGTTTATTTACATAAATATGGCAGTTTATTTACATAAATATAACAATTTATTTACATAAATATCACAATTTATTTACATAAATATCACAATTTATTTACAGATGTATCGCAGTTAATTTACAGAAATATCTTAGTTTCTTTACAGAAATATCGCAGTTTATTTACATAAATATGGCAGTTTATTCACAGAAATATCACAATTTATTTACATAAATATCACAATTTATTTACAGATGTATCACAGTTTACAGAAATATCACAGTTTATTTACAGAAATATCACAATTTTTTAAACAGAAATATCGCAGTTTATTCACAGATGTATCACAGTTTATTTACAGATGTATCACAGTTTATTTACAGATGTATCGCAGTTTATTTAGAAATGTATCGCAGTTTATTTACAGAAATATCGCAGTTTTTTTTACAGAGGTATCACAGTCTATGTACAGAAATATCGCAATTTATTTACATATATGTTGCAGTTTATTGACAGATGCATCACAATTTATTTACAGATGAATCGCAGTTTTTTTTAACAAATGTATCACAGTTTTTTTTACTGAAATAACGCAGTTGTTTTTTTACAAATGTATCACAGTTTATTTACAGAAATATGGCAGTTTATTTACATAAATATGGCAGTTTATTCACATAAATATCACAATTTGTTTACAAAAATATCACAGTTTATTTACAGATGTATCGTAGTTAATGAACAGAAATATCACAGTTTATTTACATTAATATCACAGTTTATTTACAGAAATATCGCAGTTTATTTACAGATGTATCACAGTTTTTTTTTTTTGTACAGAAATATCACAGTTTATTTACATACATTTCACAGTGTTTTTTTTTTAACCGCAATATTGCAGTTTATTCACAGAAATATCGCAGTTTATTTATCTATTAAAATCGCGCTGAGAGGGACCCTGTGTGTATGTGTGGAAAACTGACATTTATAAACATTTCCCCTAGATCAGTGGCTCTAAACCATTTTAATGCTGTGACCCTTTAATGCAGTTGCTCATTTTGTATGGACCCCTGGCCATACAACTATGGTCTTTGCTACTGCATAACTTCAGTGAATTTATGTTTTGCGATGGTCTTTGGCGACCTCTGTGAAAGATGCTGTGAAAATGTGAGTTTTCTTTTTTAACGGACGGAGGGGTCGAGATGGTAGAAGTTGTTGAGTATTTCTTTCTCTTTGTTCCCAACTTTTCTTCAAGGCATATTGGTTACGTTATTTTTAATCTGTTCATTGTTTTGTGCGTGCGAGCCTGCGTGCGCGCATGCGTGTGTGTATGTGTAAAAACTATGTGTCGATAAAACGCCATCTACTGCTTCCACATAATTTCTCACTAATTTGAGCACAGTCCATAAGTTTATTTCCAGGAAGAGTATGAAGCTCACTGAGAATAGATAAAGTTTAAACAGGCTATTCAGACACTTGGCTGGGATAGGAGCGGCTTTCTGCAAACGGCTTACTAAATGATGAGGATGATGATGAGAATGATGGGGATGATGGTGATAGGGATGGAGATGGTGATGATGAGGTTGATGATAATAATGATGGGGATGATGATAAGGATGGGGATGGTGATGATAGCGATGATGATAAAAATGAGGATGATGATGATGATGATGATGATGATGGGGATGAGGATGATGATGAGAGGATAATAATGATGGAGACAGTAATGATGATGATGATGGTAGGGATGAGGATGATGATGATATGACTGGGGATGATGGGGATGATGATGATGATGGGACAGCTTATAAGAGGGATGATGATGATGGGGCTGAGAATGATAGGGATGATGATGAAGGGGAAGATGAGGATGGGGTTGATGATGATAAAGGGGATGATGATGGGAATGATGATAGGGATGATGATGATGATAGGGATGGTGATGATGGGGATGGTGATGATGGGGATGGTAATGATGGGGATGGTGGTGATGGGGATGGTAAT